AAAAAAAAAAAAAAAGAAAATGACAAAGAACCGGAGTTGGAGTTTTGAGTTCTTAGTGAACAAAAAGTTTAGAAAACAAGATTTATATAATGTCATTAGTATCTAATAGAATGACAAAAGTTCAGAGAGGCCCGGCCATGGGCTGTTCCTGAGGTTTATGACCTGTGAATTAAAAATACATACATCTAGGGGCGTCTGGGTGGCGCAGTCGGTTGAGCGTCCGACTTCAGCCAGGTCACGATCTCGCGGTCCGTGAGTTCGAGCCCCGCGTCAGGCTCTGGGCTGATGGCTCAGAGCCTGGAGCCTGTTTCCGATTCTGTGTCTCCCTCTCTCTCTGCCCCTCCCCTGTTCATGCTCTCTCTCTGTCCCAAAAATAAATAAACGTTGAAAAAAAAAAAAATTAAAAAAAAAATACATACATCTATCTGCCTCTCTGTTGAGGGCACGATGTAATCCTGACACTCTGCCCTTCTACCCACCCCCCCCATTCCCCTGGCCATTAATGTCCATCTCAGTTTATGAAATAGAGAGGCATTCTGTTCCTTAAAGCAGAGCCAAAGAAGAATGTGCTCTTGCAAATTTTCTGAGTCTTTAGCATGCATATATACATAATACATGAGGAAAGAGCTTTCTGGTTCTTAAACTGTAATGTACATGCAGTAACCCAGAGCTGAAAATGTTTCTAATTCAGTAGATCTGGGGTGAGACCGGAGGATCTGCATTTCTAACAAGCTCCCAGGTGAAGCCAGTGCCACTAGTCTTTAGGCCACACTTTGAAAAGCAACACCTACCATGTACCTTTTTTGGGTTTATGTTACTTCTAAAGACAGTTGGCAGTTCAGAGACACTGCAGTTACCATCCATGGTTTTTATCCTGTCTGTCCTCACTACCCTTTGCTTAATTCATGCCTTCACAATCTCTACTGAATTCCACAGCTGCCTACCAACTCACTACTTCTTGCCTGCCCTACTCTCTTCAGTTCTCCCTGTCACTCTGAGGCTAGCCAGGGTTATCTTTCTAAAGCAAATACTTGATTGCATCACCTATTGATTATTGCATCACCTACTGATTAAAAACATTTGAGATACTTCAGTCCCTTCACAGTATAATCTGTTCTTTCTAAGCCATACATAGTCTTTTTTTTTTTTTAATTTTTATTTATTTTTGAGAGAGATACACACAGAATGTGAGCAGGGGAGGGGCAGAGAGAGAGGGAGACACAGAATCTGAAACAGGCTCCAGGCTCTGAGCTGTCAGCCCAGAGCCCGATGTGGGGATTGGACCCACGAACCATGAGATCATAACCTGAGCCAAAGTCGGACGCTTAACTGACTGAGCCAACCAGGTGCCCCAAGCCACACATAGCCTTAGCTGGTCAGCCCTTGCCTACTGTTTCAGCCTCATTGCTGGATATGCCTTCTAGATTCAGCACATTGAACATTTGCTATTAGTAATGTTTTGTGTCTTTCTTACACTTTTTCTTTGTATATAAACCATTTATTTGTCCACCTGGAATGCCTTTTTCCCTTTGCCTAATGAACAACTCCTCTTCAAGATGCAGACCAGAAGCCAACTCTTGTGAAGCCTTTATTTTCCTTGAATTTTTTTTTAAAGTTTACGTATGTATTTTGAGAAAGAGAGAGTGCGAGCAGGAGAGAGGGACGGGGGTGGGGGGGAGAGAGAGAAACTCAAACAGGTGCCTCACTGTCAGCTCACAAACCTGTGAAATCATGCCCTGAGCCCAAATCAAGAGTCAGATGCTTAACCAACTGAGCCACCCAGGTGCCCCTTCCTTGGATTTTTCCTTAAGGGCTTTTCCTCTGTTCATGCCCCCATTATAGCGTGTATCTCATTGTATTGCTGTTTTGCTTACCATGCCACCAGTGCCATTTGACCATATGAGTTTTACTTTAGCCTTAGAGCACTGAGTGTTTTTTAAACCTCTGTTAATTGAATGGATATCATGGTTTTAAGTTTGTAGGTGATGCTTAGTGGTGATCTTGAATATGTTTGTTTGTTTCTGCTATCTTCTTGTTTGAACTTCCCTGTTTGTCTTTTCTTTACTATAATTTGTGATGGATTTTTTTTTTTTTTTTTAAGTAAACTCTAGGCTTAACATGGGGCTTGAACTCAAAAAACTGAGATCAAGAGTTGCACCCTCTATTGACTGAGCCAGCCAGGCACTCCTATAATTTGTGATTTTTTTTTTTTTTTGAATAATTTGTGATATTTTTTTTTATTAAACTGGAACAATTAGGGGCATCTTAAACTATAAGACCGGTTTTTGTAATAGAGTTTATTTAATGGAGAGGCAAGTGGACATTAACTTGACCCCCCGTTTATCTCCCGAACCTGAAAGAACCAAAGAATTGGTTAGCAAGATAGCGTCAGGAGCTATATAAAATTTCTGGTTTGTTTCAGAAAATAAAAATGTAAACATTTTAGATTTTCATTGTTCGTGTTTATCTTCTAGAGGACCTCTGGGAAAGTTTAGAAAATGCTAGTGGTAAACCTATCGCAGCGGTGATGAATACCTGGACCAAACAAATGGGATTTCCCCTCATTTATGTGGAAGCAGAACAGGTAACCTTATAAAAAGTCCTCCAATTTGTCTGCTACTGTACTACATGGAATTCAGGCGGTGTTACCTCATTTGCTTTTCTGTACTTTAAGTATTCTAGGTAACATTTAAACTAGCCCTTGCATTGTTTTCTTGGTGATCTGTTATCTGTATACTAAATGGTTTGCCTCCCCCTCCGCCATCATTAAAATCATACATACTTATAGTAGAAAACAAAATGTTGTCTACTCTTACTGTGCCCAAGGAAAACACTGTAAACTTGTTGATATAACTCATTTTTTTAAGTTTATATAAGTAATCTCTACACCCAACATGAGGCTTGAACTCATGATTTTGAGGTCACTAGTTGCATGCTCTTCCAGCTGAGCCAACCAGGTGCCCCTTGATAAAATTCTAAAATGACCAAGTCAGGTTTATCCTAGGACTGCAAAGTTGATATAACATTAAAAAAAACTATCAGTATTTTGATTCATAAACACTACACTAGCAGAATATAGGTAGGAGAACCACATAATCACTTCAATAAGATGCAGGAAAAGCATTTGTGAAAATTCAACACCCATTTATAATATCATTCTTAAACATCAGCGCTTTTTAAAATATTTTATTCATTTATTTTTAAATGCTTATTTATTTATTTTGAAAGAGAGCATGAGCGGGGGAGGGACAGAGGGAGAGAGAATCCCAAGCAAGCTCCGTGCTCAGCACAGAGCCCAACCCAGGGCTCAGTCTCACAACAATGAGATCATAACCAGAGCTGATACCAAGAGTCAGACGCTCAAGCAACTGAGCCACCCCGGCACCACTTAAGATTTATTTTTTAAGTAATCTCTACACCCGGTGTGGCACACGAACCCACAACCCCAAGACCAAGAGTCACATGCTGCACCATCTGAACCAGCCTGGTGCCCCTAAAATTAGTTTTAATGTTGGTTGGGTGGCAATGGGATTTTGATCAGAATTGCACTATTATTAGTTGAACTGTTATCTGAATTCAGAGATTTGTACCTCAGAATGAGTTGTCTTCCCAGCAGGACTGAGCTGCCCAGGCGCCCCCGGTCATTGCTTCTTTACTCAAATTTTTTAGCTTTTCAATTCTGTCTTGTGTAGTCAGTTTATCCATAAAGGTCATTGGCCTAATTTGACATTGAATTTGGGTGGTACTAATCTGTTATATATTATTTAAAATGTTCTAGGACGTATTAACAAATGATAAGTAAAGCAAACGATTGCATGTTTGCAAAGTTTTTTTTTTTTTTTTTTTTTTTAATATGCACTTCGGTTGTTTTAAATTGTTTTTGCAGTTTTCCTCCACCACTTTTTTTGTGCTTCATTGCAAAGCTCATCCTTTGAAACAAAATGTGTGCCTCTTTCATGTTTAGCAGTCACTCTAAACCTTTGAATTCTGAACGTTGAGTCCATGTGCTAATGTAAGGTTGCCACTTTTTAGAAGCTTAAGAGTCTAAAGACATAACCTCCCTCTATAAAGATTAAAACAACTGGCTGCAGTATTATTTATTGTTACGTATCCTTGTGAAAATGGTAACATTTTAAGGTTCTTGTCTGTATACATAACCCTTCTGAGGGGCCGTATTACACAGAACATGGCCTTTTATTTAGAGGCTTGTTATTTTGGGGCCTAAATGAGAAACAGCGCCTTTTCTCCCATTCTATACTATCGTCCTCTTCCTCACCGTTGCACTTTGTGTTCTCATGAGACATTTGGCTGTACTGGTTTCACCTTCTACTTTGTCACAGAAGTGTTGGCCCCTCCAAAAAGAAGGGGAAAAAAAAGTGTTGATACTACTATTAATAGCCTTTATTTATGCTTTTCTTAGGTAGAAGATGACAGATTATTGAGGTTGTCCCAAAGAAAGTTCTGTGCCAGTGGACCATATGCCGGTAAGCAAATGGCTGTAAGTGGGAGCTGATGAGGGAATGTGGACACCATTCCAGTAGTGTTCCAATTAACAGGAAGTAATTACATATTTTTTAATATTTTTGATAGGATTAAATAAAAATAAGGAAATGGTAATAAAATACAAATGAAATCTAGGAAATCAAAAGAGGAGATTCATGAGGTATTTGTGGTGTTTTGATATTCTTCAGTTTTTTGAAATTCCATGTCTCTGTATGTTATTGGAGGCTACAAGGAATGAAGAAGGATAGGAACACCCAAGAAGCGATGTCTCTATCCTTACGAGAATCTTGCTGCACATTTGTGTGGGTGGCTAATTCTTTGTCTTCTTTTTAATTCTTGGGCATACTAAGTAAGTAAACAAGTAAATAAAGCACAAAGATTGTTTAGAGTTATTATGTACCATTTACTGTGCTAAAGCAGTATCACTGACCCTTATTTTATAGTTTCAGCAACCCTACTGGGTAGGTAGTATTATTTCCTTTCTACAAATGAAGGAGCTGAGGCATAGCTGGGTTAGTTAAATTGCCCAAGGTCGCCTATCTGATGAGTTAAAGAGTAGGAATTCAAACGAAATGGTTGGATTCCATGAGTTTATACCACTCGACTCTGGCTTTTCAAATTATTTCTACAGGTCATTAGATTCTTTTGCTCAGGAAATTAAAAGTACCTTTCTCACCTCCTTTAAAACAATTCTTAGTAGGGGGAGGTGTATATCAGAATCACCTATCCTTTTCATGTTCCAAAATAGGGTACACTCTACTAGGGTTAAGAGGTATATACCCTTTCATCCTTAACCTTCCTTAGCATTTGGAATTACTTTTTAAGTAAAGCTGTCTGACAAGTCAGATGACAAGTTTATTATCCAAAATAAATCCCTAAGTGTCACAGTTTCTGTTTTCTGCCTCATACCCACAATCTGCATCGTAGGACTGAGAGGTTTTGCAGTTTTTTTCAAATACTCTGTGACTGACCAGTATAGGCAGTATTAAAACCTGAAATGTCCCATTGTTAGGAAATTTTAATTTGTGGTTTAACCTGATAGCACAAAACTAGATAACTTAGTAAAATAGTTAAATGTAACTATAGTTAAATGTACTGGGCAATGGGCAAAGGACTCTCTTCTGTTTGGCATCTTAATTCAAAGTCTGTTTTTCTGTCGGATCCCTAAAAGACAGGTATGTTATCTGCCTTGCAAAAGCTTTGAGTTTTAGCTATGACTTTTTAGTGATGGAATCCGTCAGCTCTAGGGTGTATCCTATCTAAGAAATTAAATCAACTCTTCACTACGTATACTTGTTAAGGACTGCACCTTAGAATGTTTTTAAATGCTATATGAAGACTTTGACCTACTTGAAATTTCTTTTACAGTAAAATCATTACTCTCTGTTACTCTATAAAGGGAAATGATTAAATTAAAATCACTGTGTTTTAATTTAACACGAATTTTAATTAAGAAACACTAAATAAACTGTTCTCCTTTTCTCTTTTAGGCTATTATGATTTTTGTTAAATTCTCTCTTCCTTTATACTAGTATTATTCAGGTTATGGAAGAGTTTATGTACCATTGAAAATGAGCTATTGGCTTAACAGACTCAAGCTCATATGTAAGATACCAGTCCTCTCTCTCGACCTTACCTTCTATTTCTTCCAATGACAAATTATTTTTCAAGTTTTCTATTTGTTCTTCTGTTGCTTAAGGAGAAGACTGTCCCCAGTGGATGGTTCCTATCACAATCTCTACTAGTGAAGACCCCAACCATGCCAAACTGAAAATTCTGATGGACAAGCCAGAGATGAATGTGGTTTTGAAAAATGTCAAACCAGACCAGTGGGTAAAGGTGAGTCCATAAATGGCCTAGCCATTTTTATCTTACCTAAATGAATTGATTGCTCTCACTTCCTTTATACATTTTATGGCCGGCTGTAAATTCTGCTTTAGTTTAGATGAGGACTTGCAAAGACAAAAACATTACTAAACTGTCCTGTGTGAAATTTAGGGCCAATTTTCAAATAATATTATCTGATATCTTCCCTTAGGTAAGGGAGTGGTACATAAGCAGATAAAAAGGGATATGATCAAAGGGGAAAAAATAGTAGATTATGTGTAAAGTCACATTAATCAAAAGGTCTGTGGTCTTGGAACTTCCAGCTGCACTGTCATTGTAACAAGATGTTAACCTCCACCATGTGCTGTCATTGTGTATGCACAGCTATCGTCAAGCGAGGCCACACATATAATAATGAGTTTGTGTCACTTAAATGTGAACTTCCTGTAACTGGTGTTTTAAAATCATTTCATAAAAATAACAGTTGGTAAAGATTATTTCCCATTATTCTGTACTCTGTACCATTCATAATAAAAGTATCTACTCTAAACTTTTCTCCCAATTATAGGTTCCTAATAGGAATTATACATTATCTCAGACTTTTGTATATGTATATGTGTATATGTGTGTGTGTGTGTGTGTGTGTATACACATACACATATATG